CAGGCGCTCTCATTATGGACTCCACCATTGATGCCGAGCATCATCTCCAGGGTGGCGGCCACCTCTGACTTCTGACCTCCTTGCTCCAGAGAAATGACTGTCGCGCTCCTCGACCATAAATACAGACAAGCTCCCCCCCCCCCCCTTACCACATCACCACCACCACCTCCGCCCTCATTTTCGCCGCCCCCCACTGCCCTAACCCCCCACCCCGGCCACCACCACCACCATCCTCAACCTCCCACCTCCCTTACTCTCCTCCAGCCACTCCCCCCCCCCCCCCACCCACCACCACCCTCACCACAACCCTTGTTGTGTTGTGATTTTACATTGAGATAGGTAAAAAACTATCCGATAAAAGAGTTAAACAAAAAAGCAGTTACCAGTACTATGACATGTTTACACATTCTGTCCTTTCTTTTGCAAGGAATGAAGACAAAAAGTAGATCTTGCAGGGGAGAACCTTGCCGCACAGTTTGTTGTAGTGGTGCTTCGTTACCAGGACCCGGCAGGCAGGCCGTCCCATCCCTCTCCCGAGTCTCTCACTCCATGATAAACACGCCTCTCTTGCCTGGGTAATTGAAACGTCTCTGGGGGAGCGTCCGCTATTAACACGGTGGCTGACGCCTTGGAGAAATGACCCACATTTTCCAAGAGAAGGACCCATCCCGCCCACACCTTCAGGAGCCATCCGTACTTGATGGTGCCCCTCCAATTCGGAAAGCTAGTCAGGGCGGAAGGCTAATTGGTCTATTCACTAAATGTGGTCCATTTGCTTCCTGCACGAATTGGAGTTTCAATGTATCACTAAGAGGTATATCTTATGTTCTGGGCCAGCTATACAGAAACAGGAATTACAGCAAGGTCCATCGTTGCGGGTGATGTGTTCTTAACATATGGTACACCCCAAGTATGTCAACCACCGACCAGGCATGTCTAACACCAGAAAGGTTCTTTGCCGGAAACATTGTCTTCCTTATTATATTTTGATCTTAATCTCCTTACTATATTGATTTCTCGAGAGCCAAGGACGGTGAGGGGCACGCATGAACACTGGGCTCCTCCGACCAAAGTGCTCACTGCCCAGTTCTTCAGTGTCGTCAGTCAGCCGTCGCCATTACCACAGCCTCTACCTCCCATCACCACCAGCCTCAACCGCCCTTCAGACCTAACCATCACCACCAGCCTTCATCTTCACCCATCACTACAGATTACCTGCGGCGCTACTTACCATCACATATTCCTCCGGAGGTCTCCATCACCCGTCTTCACGAACTGCCTTCTTTCAACACTACCCATCTCCCTCATCCATCACCTCACTCTCCGTCACCCACCACCATTCTCCAACAATTTCCCCGTCAACATACCGTACACATATCCATCAAAATCCTTCACCTTTAACGTGACTATCATTATCCCCCACTCAGCATCTTTCCTCCTCCGCCATCACCATCCCCGTCATTGGCACCATCCCCATCAACATCCACTCTTTATGATCCCCCATCGCTCTCCGCCATCCCCATCACCCCCAGACGCAGCATCAGCTTCACATATCCCCGTACATTCATCTCCCGAGTCTAGGCGTGCAGGTTTTCTTTGGGTCGGCTGATTAATCATATCTCCTGCGGATGTCTTGGGGATTTTTGTATATAGTACTTGGTGCGTGAAGAGGGATTTACAGCGATATTATGGAGATGGCAACGCTCTCCGTCTTCTCTTGCTTCATATATATATTTTCCTTCTTTTCTCCTGTCGGCTGCTACTCTTTTTAATAGTTTATTTCCTTTTTCTATATATCTTTTCATTCTTTAACTTTCTCTACCCCTCCCGCCCTCCTCCTCCTCCTCCTCCTCCTCCACAATGCCCCATTCGCTCGGGACTGCACCGTGCAAAACACGTTACTGCCAATTATATACACAAGTGCCCAAGTCTGTTGCTCTTCCCTTGTCGCACAGAGGGACCAGATGCCGACGGTCGCGGCTTCGCTGGAAGTGGTTGTTGCAGTTTGTTGCAACGTAACTGCCCAAGACGACTTCCTGCATTGCAAAGAAACACAATATTGCTACACATCTTGCGGCAGCGGGGCGTAAACTGGGTGTAAAGTATCCACGACGTGTCACATTTGTATGGTGAACGAGTCAGTTGGGTGTAGAGTATGTTTAATGTAAGAGAGGAACGTGTTGTGCCTTAGCTCCTGTCCTCGGGCGGGCGTTACAGGATTACATGGCGTTTTACACACGTTCATGACCTGTGGCGCAGTGGTCGGCGCACAACCCTTCCGATTTGTGCAGCGCCTTGCATTACGCTTGATGAATCTGCTCCACCTATGTCGAGAGTAAGACAACTGTTGTGGGTTGCAACCATGTGAAGGCCAGTTGTCCCAGGAGAACCTCCATAAGTGGGACAGTCTTCCTGTCCGCACCAACAGGAAGTCATAACGCCGATAATAGTAATGTTGTGTATGGAATTATTAGAATTTTGTGATCCATTATTCTTAACATATAAGCAAGTGCATCAGGTGAGACTTAAAGAGGAAAATAAGATTTCCTTTAAAAATTCATGAACAAATACCTTTTATGTTTATCAAAATATTAATATCTTTAAATTTTTATCATATGTATGCCTATATTTGCTGATTAATGACAATGGAATAGAAAAAGTGCAAATTCTAACCGTTCCCTACATTACTTCATTACTTCAGATAAGCCTTGTTCTTATTACCATAATCTCTGGCTGTAACCTCGATCCCTTATATGCCAGCCCACACACACACACACTGTATTAATGTACCGCAGCTTACAACACCATGCACTATACTCCCAGCATTCAATACTCTGTAAAGAATTTAATGCTGGGGGTGTAGTCTATAGTGTTGAATGCTGGGGGTGTAGTCTGTTGAATGCTGGGTGGGTGAAGTCTAGTGTAAAATGCTGGGGGTGTAATATGTAGTATAGAATGCTGGGGATGTAGTGTATAGAATCTGTGCCATAGATTCCCAGCATTTCCACCCTCCACAGACTGCCCCTCCTGCAAACAACTGAGAGGGATGGGTTATGAGTGATGAGGGAGAGTTTTGAGCTCAACGCTGACAAAAAAGAGAAGGGGGAAGAGGTGATTTAGTCGAGACAAGAGTTTTGGGGACGTGACAGAGCAAGTATGATAAACTATTAACGGAGAGAGAGAGAGAGAGAGAGAGAGAGAGAGAGACAAATGGACATTAGGAGACTCAAATGAGACAGATATATAAAAACATACTTGTGTGTAAGAATAACCAACAAATGGATTAAGAAGGGCGTTAACTTTATCTGATAATCCCAAACCTATTTTTTAGAGTACATGTGAAAGAAAATGATAAAAAGTCTGAAAGTATAATAGCACGTGATTGACTGCTCAAAATATATTGCCAAGGAGCTCATGTTAGAGCCAGTGAACGCAACTAAGCGAGGCTCTCACGTCGCGTGCAACTCTACGGGCTCCACCACCCAGGTTTTATTACTTCACGATGCGGCACTCCTTATACACCTCTGCTATAAATTTCATGTAATATATTACATGATAGATATATATATATATATATATATATATATATATATATATATATATATATATATATTTACATATTTATATATAAATAAATAATAATAATATATATATATATATATATATATATATATATATATATCAGAACGCACTTCTCAGCCTACTATGCAAGGCCCGATTTGCCTAATAAGCCAAGTTTTCATGAATAAATGTTTTTTCGACTACCTAACCTACCTAACCTAACCTAACCTAACTTTTTCGGCTACCTAACCGAACCTAACCTATAAAGACAGGTTAGGTTAGGTTAGGTAGGGTTGGTTAGGTTCGGTCATATATCTACGTTAATTTTAACTCCAATAAAAAAAGTTGACCTCATACATTATGAAATGGGTAGCTTTATCATTTCATAAGAAAAAAATTAGTGAAAATATATTAATTCAGGAAAACTTGGCTTATTAGGCAAATCGGGCCTTGTATAGTAGGCTGAGAAGTGCGTTCTGGCTACTAGGTACGACATATATATATATATATATATATATATATATATATATATATATATATATATATATATATATATATATATATATATATATATATGTCGTACCTAGTAGCCAGAACTCACTTCTCAGCCTACTATTCAAGGCCATATATATATATATATATATATATATATATATATATATATATATATATATATATATATATATATATATATATATATTATGTGTGTGTGTGTGTAATTATATATATATTTTGAATGCCTAATAGTCAAAGTATCCGATTAAGACGAATCCTCTCAATTAAACAAATCTTATAGATATACATATAAAGACAGATATACTCATTTCAACGCTTTTGATAAGCATTTAATATATTTTGAATCGAAACTTGGGAACATAGTTTATCCTAAATAGTAAATACTGATGACTAGTCAGACTAAAGTAATATTAGACATATAATAAATAACTTTAGTAATCCGTCAATTGTCAGAATCGTGATATTTCCCAAATTTCCCGTGAAGATAGAGCAAAAAATAATAACACTGTCTATTTGGCAAATTGAAGCTATTGTACCTAAGACGGACGACATATTTTATTATAGCTATTAAGAATTTATTTAGAAACAATTCCAATTACCACTGATTTCAACAAGATTTACACCTGAAAGAAGGTCGTATACTTCAAGGTTTTCCAGGTGTGATTAAATGTAATTAGAGTAATTACAGGTGACTGTACTGATATGGGAGATACGGTAACTGGCTGGTTTGTTATACTGAACTCTTCCTTTTACGACTAATAAGAACATCTTGGTATATAATCATCTCCTTGCTCTCTCTCTCTCTCTCTCTCTCTCTCTCTCTCTCTCTCTCTCTCTCTCTCTCTCTCTCTCTCAAACACACACACAGTGAGTGCTCAAAATCGTCAGCTCCTATTTATCTGACACGCTCTCTTCTCCCGCAGGGAAGAGCACGGGGATCGTGACCAACACGAGGATCACCCACGGGACGCCCTCGGCCCTCTACGCCCGCAGCCCCTCCAGGTACTGGGAGGACGACGCCAAGATCCCCGCCCACTCCCACGCCTCCTGCAAGGACATCGCCAGGCAGCTCATTGAAAACGAGCCAGGGAAAAATATCAATGTGAGTAGCAGCTGTGGAGGTTGATGTGGGAGGGGTCGGTTGTTGATGATTGTTGATGTGGGTGGAGTCGGTTGTTGATGATTGTTGATGTGGGAGGAGTCGGTTGTTGATGATTGTTGATGTGGGTGGAGTCGGTTGTTGATGATTATTGGTGTGGGAGGAGTCGGTTGTTGATGATTGTTGATGTGGGTGGAGTCGGTTGTTGATGATTGTTGATGTGGGAGGAGTCGGTTGTTGATGATTGTTGGTGTGGGAGGAGTCGGTTGTTGATGATTGTTGGTGTGGGAGGAGTCGGTTGTTGATGACTGTTGGTGTGGGAGGAATCGGTTGTTGATGGTTATTGGTGTGGGTGGAGTCGGTTGTTGATGATTGTTGGTGTGGTTGGAGTCGGTTGTTGATGATTGTTGGTGTGGGTGGAGTCGGTTGTTGATGATTGTTGGTGTGGGTGGAGTCGGTTGTTGATGATTGTTGGTGTGGGTGGAGTCGGTTGTTGATGATTGTTGGTGTGGGTGGAGTCGGTTGTTGATGATTGTTGATGTGGGTGGAGTCGGTTGTTGATGATTGTTGATGTGGGTGAAGTCGGTTGTTGATGATTGTTGATGTGGGTGGAGTCGGTTGTTGATGATTGTTGATGTGGGTGAAGTCGGTTGTTGATGATTGTTGATGTGGGTGAAGTCGGTTGTTGATTGTTGATGTGGGTGAAGTCGGTTGTTGATGATTGTTGATGTGGGTGAAGTCGGTTGTTGATGATTGTTGATGTGGGTGGAGTCGGTTGTTGATTGTTGATGTGGGTGGAGTCGGTTGTTGATTGTTGATGTGGGTGGAGTCGGTTGTTGATGATTGTTGGTGTGGGTGGAGTCGGATGTTGATGATTGTTGGTGTGGGAGGAGTCGGTTGTTGATTGTTGATGTGGGTGGAGTCGGTTGTTGATTGTTGATGTGGGTGGAGTCGGTTGTTGATGATTGTTGATGTGGGTGGAGTCGGTTGTTGATTGTTGATGTGGGTGGAGTCGGTTGTTGATGATTGTTGGTGTGGGTGGAGTCGGATGTTGATGATTGTTGGTGTGGGAGGAGTCGGTTGTTGATTGTTGATGTGGGTGGAGTCGGTTGTTGATTGTTGATGTGGGTGGAGTCGGTTGTTGATGATTGTTGATGTGGGTGGAGTCGGTTGTTGATGATTGTTGATGTGGGTGGAGTCGGTTGTTTGATTGTTGATGTGGGTGGAGTCGGTTGTTGATGATTGTTGATGTGGGTGGAGTCTGTTGTTAATGGGCATTGGTGTGGATTTGATTTTGGATTCGTTGATAATAGGCAATGGTATGGGTGGAGTTGATTGTGGATTAATTGATGGCAATAGTGTGGTTGGTGTTGAAGAATGCTCGATGATGTGTGTGATGTATAAAATACCGGTTTGACAATCTGCTGGAAGATTTATGGAACAGGCTGTCAGGTAACATGTAAGGCCTGGGGGAGGGAGTCATAAAGTTGTTTCAAGCATAGATTAAACATTCTCTCTATGTATAGTTGTCACTCTGGCAGCCATGGTCACTAGTTCCAAGGTCTGGTGGTCACTCTGGCAGCCATGGTCACTAGTTCCAAGGTCTGGTGGTCACTCTGGCAGCCATGGTCACTAGTGCCAAGGTCTGGTGGTCACTCTGGCAGCCATGGTCACTAGTTCCAAGGTCTGGTGGTCACTCTGGCAGCCATGGTCACTAGTTCCAAGTCACTCTGGCAGCCATGGTCTGGTGGTCACTCTGGCAGCCATGGTCACTAGTTCCAAGGTCTGATGGTCACTCTGGCAGCCATGGTCACTAGTTCCAAGGTCTGATGGTCACTCTGGCAGCCATGGTCACTAGTTCCAAGGTCTGATGGTCACTCTGGCAGCCATGGTCACTAGTTCCAAGGTCTGATGGTCACTCTGGCAGCCATGGTCACTAGTTCCAAGGTCCGGTGGTCACTCTGGGGTGGGTAGTGACGTTACATAACCAGAGTGGGGAATTATGTCTCGGCATAAACATCAGTAACACAAGTCAGTGAACTATCCCTTTGCCTTCAGAAAAACTTCAATCCCAACTGAACTAGCAAATGGCAACGTCGAAAATCTCTTCTCAAATAGTCAAGAGTCTACAATGCCTTGACAAATAGCAAAGTCAATTACTCGTCTTCAAACGTTAGAGTTACATTGACTGATATATCTTGCAAAGTCAGGAATCTCATCTCAAAAGTTCAAGTCCACAAACATTGAAATTTGACTACGTCCAGAATCTCCTCTCCAGAGGTAAAGTCCACACAGGCACCAAAATAAGTTCTCCAACGGCTCAACTAATAATATAAGTCACCTTACCATAATAGTTACAATTTGCGAATCTTATGAGCACACTTGATACTCTGATCCACACAAATAATCCTCCTTGCCTACTAGTAAGAAATCAATAGGTATATATATATATATATATATATATATATATATATATATATATATATATATATATATATATATATATATATATATATATATACACACACACGCAGGCAGGCAATGGGGGAGGGGGAGTAATGACAGTAGCAGCGGCCAGCCGACGAAACTAGCAGTTACAAAACTCACAACACATCAAGAAATATAATATCAATGCAACAAAATACCGTACAATAAACTAGAATACACCCGTATATAATGCTATTTAAAATACTGCAGAACATTGTAATAGAGGTACCTTGACTCTTGAAGGTATGACCTCACCGTATCTCGTCTGAACTAGTTAGGCTGGCTCTAACAGCCCGGCAACTGGTACCACGCCCGGCTGCTGGAGGTACGCCCGATTGAGTTGCCACATCCGCCTGCTGATTCCCAAGTATTGCCACGTTCAGCCTCCGGCACCAGGTCTGAGCCAGGTGGAAAGCTGATAGGTATTCCAGGGTTACAGGCTTAGTGAAGTGAGAGTACATGGAAGTATTGGAGGATTCTTGGCTGTAGTGGAAATGAAGACGTGGGACGTATGATAGATAGTAAGTAATTGTCAAAAGAAGGCACCAAATCGGGAAGGCTATGTAGCACCACCAAATGTGCGGAGTAATCAGAGGGCGCTAAATATCACCAAGAATGCCAATACGAGAACAGAAACGCATAAGGCGAACGATATCAAAAGCATCCGATTCACCAAGAATTTTATCGAGGGGACAATTGACCGCGAGGGACGGTCGGGTATGATAGATATTAGACTTGATAAGGAGAAGGAATGGGCGAGTGTTTTAGGGACTTTGTCATTTAGGAGTTTTATTTAGGAAATGTTTCCTAACTCAGCAGTAGAGGAAGACTGGACAAAACATTTCTCCGTCTTAAGTAAATATTAAAAGAAGGATCTAAACGGGAAAGGTTATTTAACAGCCTCCGTGTGGCAGAATATTCAACAAAATCGCAAATATAATTCAGGATGCCAATTCCAGAACAAAAAAATTTTATACGCTTGCCGTCAAAACCATTGGATTCCTCAAGGATTCTATCGAGGGACAAGTACCCAGAGTTAGTTAACTTAGTGAGGAGCATTAGTCCAGGTGCGTGGTAGGGCTATACGTTAGTAACAAGGCAACGCTGATAGTAAAGCATGGTAGAGTCGTCTAGGGAGTGGTGTAACAGCATACAGGTTTAACAGTGGTTTTTAACAGCAAATAATTTTAGAATTATTTAGGAACACTGTTAATATCTAACGTACGTGTTGCACCGGGTACGCATAAGGCGGCAAAATAGGTGAGGGTTGATGTTATCGTCGGTCATTTTGAAAGTTATAAAAGCCCACATGGGATCAAGATGGTACTTTTATGAAGAGAAAAACTCAGAATAACAAAATATAAAAAGCTTTTTCAACATACCATATATTGACAGTATGCTGCAAAGGAAAAAAATAATAAAGTAAGGAAGCTGTTGCCTTTGGTGAGAATGACCGTATCAAACTACTAATATTTAGACCCCAAATGCTTACTTTGTTCATTAAATCTACCACGGTTTAACACACAAGGTTGTGGCATTTTCATAAATTAATGTTAGAGTTCAAAAATGCCATCAATGTCAACAAAGACAGCAGCTTGCCTTACTGTCTTGAGCAACATATAAAATATAAAATACTTCGTATTTAATGTTAAATTTATTAAATACTTCGTATTTAATATTAAATTAATGTTTTGTTAATTAAAAAACTTTATACATTGTGCTTCGGCGTGTTGTTTCATAGTACGACTTGGGTTCATTATTCTTTAACGGTCCAGTGACCTATTTAAGACCAGTTTTACAATAAACGCAAAACGTTTAAGCATCAGACCGACTGGAAACAGGGACTGGACGGCAGTAATTCCCACAACAGACGTTTTTAGAATTATTAATGAAATTTCGTAATTATGCAAAGGTTTAGATTTGACAATGTGGTAAATTTTATAACCACAGCAACTATGTATTTTAATTAATTATAATGTAAATTATGTAGTTTGCCATTTCAAAACCAAATTATCATAGTTCAATTTGCTTGCCGGGTTGTTGCCCCTAAGTCGCCCTCGTAGTCCAGTCTCTGCTTTCATGAATTTACAGTCATAAACTGTGCATCACTAGATACTAGATCTGGCCACAATGAGTTATATTGGAACTCTAGAGAAGTCACAATAACGGGGGTGAAATAAATGACCCAATCTTCACATAGGTAATGATTGCCGACGTTTCGATCCGTCTTGGACCACAAAAGATACAGGACGAGCGAAACGCCAATTTAATTTGTCTTCATATATATGGGTCGATTTATTTATATTTGTAGTGTAATAGATAAGTAGTTTTTTCTTAGCAGAGAAAAGGGACCCCTCTTAATTGATTTTAGTTTTCGTGAGTTATGGACAATTTCAGGCTCTGAGCTGTCCTGGACACAATCAGTGTTTTGGAGGCAATTCGTTCGCTTGATTTAAAGCCCTCCATCGCGCGGGGAAAAATTCTAAAAAATCAAAGAATCCCATTACTGGTACTATAAAAGGCATAGCCTAATATGCAATACAGATTTCAAAATGATTTATGTTATGTAGTCTACAGTTAATATATTTTATACGTGATCTCTCTCTCTCTCTCTCTCTGCTACATTTCAGATAAAATAAGTAGTTTCTCAATTTTCAGGCGAGACGTGTGAGTTTATTTACACCCCCCCCCCCTCTCCCACACATACATGCATGCATGCATACATATACATACATACATACATACATATATACCCCCCGCTCTACCTGACTACCTGACCCATTCCTCCGTCAGAACCACCATTCCCCATCACTCATTTACATATATCAATTGTTTTCTTGTAATTGAGACGTAACCGACTCTCACTATATCAAGTCAGCGGGAGCTGCCACGTTAATATCCTCGCGCTGTGAGAATAATTCGCTCGTTCCCCCTGGCGTTCCTCCGAGTCTAATGATAGAAAAAAAAAATTGCTCGCCCATAAAGCTCGTTAATGTGGGGTCGTCCGGCGCCTGCACACCACATTACTGGCCAGCGCTCTCTCGCACCTCCCCCTCTCTAAGGCTACTCACAGCCCATTGTCTCAGCGATGGTAATACGACACAATCTTAAGACACACACGCGAATGGTTGGTGATTTAATTATCTCCAATTTCCTGTTAACCATGAAAGGAAGATTGGTGTAAGTGGCACCCATTACAACATAATATAAGCAACCTCACCAACTGAACTTGCACTGCATAATGAGCTCCTGTGTGTGTGTGTGTGTGTGTGTGTGTGTGTGTGTGTGTGTGTGTGTGTGTGTGTGTGTGTGTGTGTGTGTGTGTGTGTGTGTGTGTGTGTGTGAGTGAGTGAGTGAGTGAGTGAGTGTGTGTGTGTGTGTGTGTGTGTGTGTGTGTGTGTGTGTGTGTGTGTGTGTGTGTGTGTGTGTGTGTGTGTGTGTGTGTGTGTGTGTACTCACCTATTTGTACTCACCTATTTGTGCTTGCGGGGGTTGAGCTTTGGCTCTTTGGTCCCGCCTCTCAACTGTCAATCAACTGGTGTACAGATTCCTGAGCCTACTGGGCTCTATCATATCTACATTTAAAACTGTGTATGGAGTCAGCCTCCACCACATCACTGCCTAATGCATTCCATCCGTTAACTACTCTGACACTAAAAAAGTTCCTTCTAACGTCTCTGTGGCTCATGTGAGTACTCAGTTTCCACCTGTGTCCCCTTGTTCGCGTCCCACCAGTGTTGAATAGTTTATCTTTGTTTACCCGGTCGATTCCTCTGAGGATTTTGTAGGTTGTGATCATGTCTCCCCTTACTCTTCTGTCTTCCAGTGTCGTAAGGTGCATTTCCCGCAGCCTTTCCTCGTAACTCATGCCTCTTAGTTCTGGGACTAGTCTAGTGGCATACCTTTGGACTTTTTCCAGCTTCGTCTTGTGCTTGACAAGGTACGGGCTCCATGCTGGGGCCGCATACTCCAGGATTGGTCTTACATATGTGGTGTACAAGATTCTGAATGATTCCTTACACAGGTTCCTGAACGCTGTTCTGATGTTAGCCAGCCTCGCATATGCCGCAGACGTTATTCTTTTTATGTGGGCTTCAGGAGACAGGTTTGGTGTGATATCAACTCCTAGATCTTTCTCTCTGTTCGTTTCATTAAGTACTTCATCTCCTATTCTGTATCCTGTGTTTGGCCTCCTATTTCCACCACCTAGTTTCATTACTTTGCATTTACTCGGGTTGAACTTCAACAGCCATTTGTTGGACCATTCACTCAGTCTGTCTAGGTCATCTTGTAGCCTCCTACTATCGTCCTCAGTTTCAATCCTCCTCATAATTTTTGCATCATCGGCAAACATTGAGAGAAACGATTCTATACCCTCTGGAAGATCATTTACATATATCAGAAACAGTATAGGTCCAAGGACTGACCCCTGCGGTACTCCACTCGTAACGTCTCGCCAATCTGAGACCTCACCCCTCACACTGACTCGTTGTCTCCTGTTACTTAGGTACTCCTGTATCCAACGGAGTACCTTCCCTTTCACTCCAGCCTGCATCTCCAGTTTTTTCACTAACCTCTTGTGTGGCACTGTGTCAAAGGCTTTCTGACAATCCAAAAATATGCAGTCTGCCCACCCTTCTCTTTCTTGCCTTATTTTTGTTGCCTGGTCGTAGAATTCAAGTAACCCTGTGAGGCAGGACCTGCCATCCCTGAATCCATGTTGATGCTGTGTTACAAAGTTCTTTCGCTCCAGATGTTCCACTAGCTTTCTTCGCACAATCTTCTCCATCAACTTGCATGGTATGCAGGTTAGGGACACTGGTCTGTAATTCAGTGCCTCCTGTCTATCCCCTTTCTTGTATATCGGGACTACGTTAGCTGCTTTCCAAATTTCTGGCAGTTCCCCTGTTGCCAGTGATTTGTTATACACCATGGAGAGCGGGAGGCACAGTTCTTCTGCTCCTTCCTTTAGTATCCAAGGGGAGATTCCATCTGGACCTATAGCCTTTGTCACATCCAATTCTAGTAAACACTTCCTTACTTCCCCGCTGGTAATCTCAAACTCTTCCAGTGGTTCCTGGTTAGCTATTCCCTCTCTTATCTCTGGGATTTCTCCTTGCTCCAAGGTGAAGACCTCCTGGAATTTCTTATTCAGTTCCTCACACACTTCCTTGTCGTTTGTAGTGAATCCTTCTGCCCCTAACCTTAATTTCATAACCTGTTCCTTTACTGTTGTTTTTCTCCTGATGTGGCTATGCAGCAATTTAGGCTGAGTCTTTGCCTTGCTTGCGATGTCATTTTCGTATTGTCTTTCTGCCTCTCTTCTCATCCTAACATATTCATTCCTGGCATTCTGGTATCTTTCTCTGCTCTCCAGTGTCCTGTTATTCCTATAGTTTCTCCATGCCCTTTTACTTTGCTGCTTAGCTAGCCTACATCTCTGATTAAACCATGGGTTTCTCATCTTCATTTCACTGTTTTCCTTTTGGACTGGGACAAACTTGTTTGCTGCATCCTTGCATTTTTGCGTGATGTATTCCATCATATCTTGGGCCGTCTTTTCCCTGAGCTCTGTTTCCCATGCTATATCTGCTAGGCATTTTCTTATCTCCTCATAGTTTCCCTTTCGGTATGCTAACCTTTTGGTTTCGGTATCCCTTCTCGAGTTCAATAACCCTTCTTCAATCAGGTACTCAAACACCAATACACTGTGGTCGCTCATTCCTACTGGGTCCTCAAAACTGATTTCTCTTATGTCAGAGTCGTTCAGGGTGAAAACCAGGTCGAGTCTCGCTGGTTCGTCGTTTCCTCTCATCCTTGTGGGTTCACTGACATGCTGGGTTAAGAAGTTTCTAGTCGCCACCTCCAGTAGTTTGGCTCTCCACGTATCCTCGCCTCCATGCGGTTCCTTGTTCTCCCAATCAATCCTGCCGTGATTGAAGTCCCCCATGATGAGCAGGTGGGATCTATTTCTACAGGCAGAAGAGGCTGCCCTCTCAATTATAGTGTTAACTGCCATGTTGTTGCTTTCGTACTCTTGACTGGGTCTTTTGTCATTTGGTGGAGGATTATATATTACTGCTACTACTATCCTTGGTCCTCCCATTGTCATGGTGCCTGCTATGTAGTCTCTGAAACCCTCACAGCCCGGGATAGTCATCTCCTTAAAACTCCATTCCTTTCTCATGAGTAGGGCCACTCCTCCTCCTCCCCTACCTTCCCTCTCTTTCCTTATTATTGTGTACTCCTGGGGAAACACGGCATTCGTTATGATTCCAGAGAGTTTTGTTTCAGTGAGTCCAATTACATCTGGGTTCACTTCTTGTGCTCTTTCCCTTAGTTCACTTGCCTTGCTTGTGATCCCATCTATGTTCGAGTACATTGCCCTGAAACTAACTCTCTTCTGCTTCTCCTCTGGGGAGGACCTGTGGGGTCTGGGGTGAGCAGGAGCTGGGAGGATCTGGTATGGGGAGACTGGTGGAGGAGGAAGGGCTTGGGGGGGTAGGGGTGAGGGGGAGGGCAGGGGTAGGGGGAGGGTAGGGGGAGTGTGTGTGTGTGTGTGTGTGTGTGGGGGGGTGTGTGTGTGTGTGTGTGTGTGTGTGTGTGTGTGTGTGTGCTAACACGAATGCGAGGGTTCGTTTAGCCAGTTCCCTTACCTGGTCAAGCCAAAAAAGTCAAGGCAACCCTAGAAGGCACCTGGATTGGCCGAGAAGGCTAGGTAACCCCCATCAGTACAGCACGAGTCATCGTACTCTTAAGAAAATAATAACTATTAATAATTTTTCTTTCGAAATTACCATGGGGCAGAATACTTCATTTTTTCCCTGATGCCTTAATATCCATTTTTCCTGAAGGACATTTTCAAGAACAAAACAAGTGCTACTGTATAATTCCACATCTCAGTCTCCGCACCTCTGTCCCATCACGTATCCCCTTCCTCTGGTACTCATTAGAGAAAAGCGTCCCCTACGCTCTCTTAGTGACCTCCTGCGACTGTCTTTACTCACATTATCATCTTAACCCGTCACTGACATTCACATTCTCTCCCTCTCCGCCAGGTGCTGATGGGCGGGGGTCGTCGCCACCTGATCCCCACGACGGTGTACGACCGAGAGGAGAGGAACCAGCGCGGGAGAAGGACGGATGGGAGGAACCTGCTTGACGAGTGGGTCCACGACAAGAAGACTCGAGACCTCAACGCCGAGTACGTCTGGAACAAGGCCCAGTTCGACAAGGTTGATCCCAGGCACACGGACTATCTGCTGGGTGAGTTGCTCCAATTGACTAGCATGTTAGGGATCGGATGGATGAAGCCCAGCTTTCTGGGTGAGCCAGTTGGATTCGTGGATTTTAATTATAAGACCGGATGGATGAATGAGTTAACAGGCCCAGTGTGTGTGTGTGGATATCGCGGGTGAGTCGATTTGATGAATATCAGGGAATCGATCTTCTAGAGAGTCACTCAATTTCATGAGTCTGATACTCTGTCAAAGAACTAGCTGGGTGAGTCTGCTCACTGAATCAGTGGAGTCGACTGAGTGCAGGAGTCAAAACTTTCAGTAACTAAGAAGCTGCCGAGCATGCAATAATTATACCCGTCTTGTATGTCATATGAATATCAGATTTGTAACGTACACATTTTACTTTGTAATATTCTTTCCTGCAAAGACCCCCAGTTGTGGACACTGATACAATGTTAACTTCGACACAGGAACTAGTACAGAAGAACTAATTACAGGAAATAATTGCCAACAAGTTTAAAGCCTGGAGGATACAAGGAGAGATGGCACTACTCTGTGACTCGTGTTTACGATCACAAGAGAACAATTACCGCAGTTTTGGCATAGCATCAACACTTTATTTATAAAAATCTTCACAAAAAATTGGAAGGTAAACATCTCCCCCCCAGGAGTTTGGACCTGAAACCGACGCAGGTCTTATTGGCTCTTAATAAGGTAATAATGGTAATAACTCATACCATTCTGTTATGATGTGTGTACAACACAAACCACAGAGGAACGTTTAACCCCAAGACAAGCCACAGAGGAAACTTTACCCCCAAGCTCAGCCACGAAGGAACCCTTAACCTTCAAGATAAGCGAGAAATTAAAGGTTTCCCCGAAGCCAAGCCAAGCCACAGAGGTTTGGTTACCACAACAATTGCCTTGGTGGACCCAGAACATCACGGCTGAACACCCCGAGGAAAACAAAGGGCCCTAATACACCACAAGACTGTCAGTTAACGAAAATAATCGCGTTTGTAAAGCTATATAGCACATGGCCCGCTGCCATCTCCTCTGATGGTCGCTCGCCCGCTACCAGTGTTGCTGCCTTCCCCTCTGATGGCCGCTCGCCCGCTACCAGTGTTGCTGCCTTCCCCTCTGATGGCCGCTCGCCCGCTACCAGTGTTGCTGCCTTTCCCTGCTGACCCGCTGACTGCCAATATCAACTTTACACACTTGGGAAATGATGGAGGTCAGTTTTATGCTGAAAGCGTCTCTCGCATGTGACGTGGGAGAGGAAGGCAGTGTACACTGTAGAGTTATGCCAGATACTCGCCTCTTGGGCCATCAAACACGCCTCTTACTCACCTGTTGGCCATCAAACACGCCTCTTACTCACCTGTTGGCCATCAAACACGCCTCTTACTCACCTGTTGGCCATCAAACACGCCTCTTACTCACCTGTTGGCCATCAAACACGCCTCTTACTCACCTGTTGGACATCAAACACGCCTCTTACTCACCTGTTGGACCTCAAACACGCCTCTTACTTACCTGTTGGACATCAAACACGCCTCTTACTTACCTGTTGGACCTCAAACACGCCTCTTACTCACCTGTTGGACATCAAACACGCCTCTTACTCACCTGTTGGACCTCAAACACGCCTCTTACTCACCTGTTGGACATCAAACACGCCTCTTACTCACCTGTTGGACATCAAACACGCCTCTTACTCACCTGTTGGACATCAAACACGCCTCTTACTCACCTGTTGGACCTCAAACACGCCTCTTACTTACCTGTTGGACATCAAACGCGCCTCTTACTCACCTGTTGGACATCAAACGCGCCTCTTACTCACCTGTTGGACATCAAACGCGCCTCTTACTTACCTGTTGGACATCAAACGCGCCTCTTACTTACCTGTTGGACATCAAACGCACCTCTTACTCACCTGTTGGACATCAAACGCGCCTCTTACTCACCTGTTGGACATCAAAAGCGCCTCTTACTCACCTGTTGGACATCAAACGCGCCTCTTACTCACCTGTTGGACATCAAACGCGCCTCTTACTCCCCTGTTGGACATCAAACGCGCCTCTTACTCATTTGTTGGACATCAAACGCGCCTCTTACTCCCCTGTTGGACATCAAACGCGCCTCTTACTCACCTGTTGGACATCAAACGCGCTTCTTACTCACCTGTTGGACATCAAACGCGCCTCTTACCTGTTGGTAATGAAACTCAAGTTAGGTCGTAATCAGCCTCGTGAATATTTCTACATTCAGTGTTTTGCGTCTATCATTAAGGTCCTCGAGGAACCAAATATTAGCAGCTCGCTAATATTCCCTATAATCAGATTCGAGCACCTTTTAGTGATTCAGTATATAAACTTCACTTCAGTGGTATGCACAGGTAATGAATATGACTATCAAGCAATTTTCTTCTGTAAACACTAGTACTACTTAATGCAAATTTGTACACTTGGGATGAAGTCTAGCATGTAATCTTCCCCCTCAAAGCTCCTATATACATCGCGCACGTGAACGTTTGTACACGTACGTTCACACACACACACACACACACACACACACACACACACAATGCTAAACTCATGAGGCGAATTAGTACTGAGGACTTCAAACCATGCATTACAAGATGACCTAGACAATCTCAAGAAATGGTCTGAGAAATGGCTAATAGACTTTAACAATGACAAATGCAAGGTTATGAGGTTAGTTGGAGTAAGGAAATCTCTGTAAAGTACAAAATAAAGGGAAGGCAACTACTAACTTTTGAAAAAAAGAGAGATTTAAAAGTGGATATAACTGGAGATCTATCACCATTGGCACACATCAGCAGAATAACGAGGGCAGCAGACGCCATGCTGGTAAATGTCCGGTTATCCTTCAGGAACTTGTACAAATATTCCTTCCAAGCTTTATACATCCTTTGTGAGACCTATCATTAAGTATGCCACCCCAGGATGGAACCCCCACCTAAAGAAGCACAAAGCAAAACTAGAAAAGTAAAAAAATATGCAATAAGGCTCGTTCCTGAGCTATGAAGAAATACTAAGGGAATTGGATCTCACAATATTGGAGGAAAAAAGGAATAGACCGGACGTGATAACGACGTACAGGAGATTGGACATGTACTAAGCGGATGTGAGCGATTGACAAAGTAAATATTGAAGCGATGTTCAAATTAAGGAATAAAAGAACGGAGGACATAACTGGAAACTTAAAACGCAGATGAGTTACAAAAATGTCAGAAAATATTTATTCAGTCTCAGAGCAATAAGTGGAACAGACTACATGAGAAAGTTTCGAAGCCAATTCTATACACAACTTTAAATGTAAATATGATAAAAAAGTGACTGAAAAAAAAGTCACTGCAGTAACTTAAGGTCAAATTACAGAAAAAAAGTGAAAAAAGTCACAACATTGAAATAATGATGGTCGAAATGTGGGGTTTAAGAGCAGATGCGCGACCCTACAAGCTCAACTAGGTGAGTACAAAAAAAAAACCTGCGAGCGACCTATCCTGTAGTATGCAGCTCCAGCATGGAATCCACGTTTTGAAAAGCTCAAGAAAATGTACCTGAGACTAGTTCTTAATTATGTTGAAGTGAGCAATAAGAACCAAATCTTACGAAAAGCTCAAGAAAATGTACCTGAGACTAGTTCTTAATTATGTTGAAGTGAGCTACAAGAACCAAATCTTACGAAAAGCTCAAGAAAATGTACCCGACACTAGTTCTTAATTATGTTGAAGTGAGCTATAAGAACCAAATCTTCCGAAATTAGAACAAATGACTAGAGGCAATATGAGCACAATGTACAAGTTAACAAGGGCAGTTGATTCTTTCCTAGATGAGGGACAACAGAACGAGAGGGGACGTTGGAAACGGATGAGCCTGTGAGCGATAAACACCTGTAATAAAGAGTCAAGAAGGAAACAACCACTGTTCAGAGCTTCAAGAGCACGTATAACTACTGGCATGTCGGATAGTACACGTGCCATGGTTCGAGAGTTAGATCCCGCTCCTCCAGATACAACTTGCTCCATAATTATTAAAATAAGTCGCTAAGGCAGGAAGGCAATATGACACTGAGTTATAGAATATTTAGGGGTTCCTAGATATTCAGGATGTCAATACAAGAGAAGACATAAAACGAACGTTATAAAAGGAATAAGATGCTCCGATAAATTTATCGATAGAATTATGACTCGAAGCACAACTAGGTAAATCTCTCGAAATCTAGTCTACACACACCCCCCTCGCCCTGCGCTGACCCAACCATTAACTCCTCTCAATCTTCAGGTGTCTTCGGGTACTCCCACCTAGACTTCGAAGTGGACCGCAACAAGGGCCCTACAGGAGATCCATCTCTGGCAGAGATGACCGTGAAGGCCATCCAGATCCTACGGAAGAACCCACATGGCTTCTTCCTCATGGTCGAAGGTGAGTCTCGCTGAGGGGCCGATAGATCAATAAAGTTATCTCTTGTAGGGAGATTGGTATACGAGTCTATAGCGTATTTATATTGGATGGGATTGGAAGCAAGGTAGAGATTGATGAGAGGGATGGCTGGAGAGGTTTGAGGGGGGAGAGGGGATAGAGGAAAGTTATTATTGAAAGAGTTTGAGGAATAATTTGAGGGTATCGGAACGGAAGAGGGGAAGCCAGTATTGATAGGGGTGTATAGCAATTTCAGGAAAGTGGAAGTTTCCGCGAGGCGTGTTGCCACTGTGGGAAAACTGCAGCTGGGTCTAAAACCACAATTGAGGAAAGAAGGACGTGACGTCAGAGAGGAGAGCGAGTAAGCTGGGAATAGGAAGATGGGTAGGCATCTTGAGAGGTAGAGGAAGGTGTGAGGTGGAACTTGAGGGAAACTTAGACTGGTTAATGAGGTCGGGAGGAGGAGATAGGGTAGTAAGAAGAGAGGATGAGGTATCTTCAAGACAAATTATGAGGCTGGGAATATACCTAGCATGGGAACAGGGGTATGCCTGGTATTTACACCGGAAATATGCCTGGCAAAGAGACCGGGGGTCTTCTTCCTTCATTGGATGCGATTAAACCATATTTAGTTATACGAATTTATAATATTTTTGCATTACTATTGTATTAATATCTTTAATATTATTCTTTTATTGTTACTATTTTTGACATTTTATATTATTGATAATAAAAGCCGAAAGAGTAGAAATAATACCACTATCACTAACATTCGTATTAATGTAATTTTAATAAATGCTCTAATTACCCAGATGTGGCAATATCCATAATTTAACTACACATAAACAAAGGTCCACGTGAAGGCTACAAGAACACTAATACTCTTCATGGTTCAGTCACCTGGGAGTGACACACAACCCTGGATACCAGCACAGGACGGGAAAGGGTACAGGTGGTGTAGGGTGGAGCTGGTGGGGGAGGGAGAGGAGACTGATAGGGCTAGATTGAATGCAATGGTCCTGGGTTGTACACTATAGAGCTAGGATGTACACGATGGGGCTAGGATGTGAATCAAGTGGCTGTTATTTTCCACGTGACAAAACAGAGGCGTCTAGACTACATATTAGGTGATTTAGTTATGAAATAGTGAGCTAGTTTGGGAATAAGCAAAGCTAAATATGATGCACGTAGCAAATTCATAATACACTTGAAGTAAATAGTTAGAATGTTGTACAGGACATGCTGCACGACCTAAATAAGTTGATAACCCTATCTAGCCTTTCTAGTCGGATTATTTACAAATGCACAGAAATACGTATATACTAAGAATATTATCTCGAGCGGTTGATAAATAAGAGGCTTCAGCCGGCAGTATTGTATAGAGAGAGAAGAGAGAGCAGTAGCAGCAGTGGGGAGGTGGATGAACTATTATTTTTGTGAGGATTGCTGTGGCTACGGATTTTGCAGGTTTATTCTGGTTTATTCTGTGGTGCTCCGAATACCTGGCTCAGGAGGCTTCACGCGGGATGAAGCAGGTTTAGGGGATTGCTTTGAATCTTTTCCCGAGACGGCGTTTGCTCAAAGGAACTGGCATTTAATCTTTATTTTCATGTAAATAAACAAAACACAATTTTTTTTATAAAATATTTTAGTTTTCTTTCAAATTAAATGTTTTCTTACCTTATCATTTTATGATATATATATATATATATATATATATATATATATATATATATATATATATATATATATATATATATATATATATATATATATATATATATACTTTTAATTATAATGCAATGTACAATTACTGCTTTGCAGGTGTATATAATGTGTTGAACCGTGTATATGATTATTGTCTTAAACGTTGTGAATTACTGGTAGAAATGTCAGTAATCAGTATGTCATTACTCTTCCAACAGTGAGTTCAGAAAGTCATTTTCTCAATCATAAATACAATTTTAAAACAATGCTTACTGTAGGAGATTACTGACCAGCAGTGTAGACACCAACACATCCTCCGTGTGTCTACCGCTGCTATGGATGGAATGGACAATATACGGATTTGTTGTCATATTTTGTACTATTATAATTCGAAAGTGCGTAACAAAACAGCGTAACAGTGAACATAATCTGTCCTAAATTAACATTCTAAAGGACAACAAAATTGTATGTTCAACCATCATTGCTGTGGTCCTGACACGTATAAATAATAACAGAAAACGTGACATGTAAGGAGCTAACTATTTCAACGGGAAAGTTCCGATACGGTAGAAATTAGATATGATCTTTAGGTTGTAATTGAAAAATATTTTGCATGTTCTCCCAAATGCTTAGATCACTGTTGCATGATGCTCCATCTAAAATTGTAAATTGTTATTATGTGGTATTACACTACGAAATGCTCTTTTCTAGTTCTTAAGTTTAAATATATTCACGTTTTTAATTGCGGATGTCTTACCAATACCAGCCATTTTATACACAGTACATCAACACAATGGAGATAGCATTGCATCTGTCTCATTTAAAAAATCCTGTCGCATTGATGTATGCAAATATCTCAAACCAACAGTGTTACAGTTGACTTCGATGTGCTGCTTGAATTTTTGTGAGTATTACTGGTTTGTCCCAGAAAAAGTAATTTGATTCAGTATGGGGTTATGTTGTCAAAATGCCACCATTCTTACAGAAAATTAGGAGATAAAAGGTTTGCTATTCAGTATTATCAAAACAAAGCACCAAGCCGGGAAGCTTCCAGGCTTTTCTCCCTTTATGATAAAAACAGACCTTCCAGACGAGGTCACCAGCTCCTGGACCAGGGTACTCGCCATACAAGTCAGAGATAATGGTCGGAAATGAACAAGTTACATCACAACATTAAACTCTGCTGCCCTGTGCCACCACGCATCACGTACCCCAATAAGGGAGGTACAGTACAACCACTCAGGCGACCCCATGGGTAACGGTGAGAGTATACGCAGGTAACCAGTGGGGATTCTGAGTGCCAACCTACGGACGAATAAGGATACCGACCCTCCATGACCCAAGTCCGGCTAGGTCCGAAAGCTAGACTAGTTAATTGTTTCGTACAGTCATCACTGAATATCCCGTTATTCCCCTATATCTCTACCAAAAGTAGCCTATTGCTCCAAGAACTGCAGCCGCTGGGTGGGTTCAGCTTATGGAAAACAAGGAATATACGAATCTCCGTGTATTGCAAGTGCACTGTGCCATAACCACAGGTCGCCTACGTGATGGACGTTTTCACGTATAAGCACAAGCCACCTATCCATGCCTAAGTGTGGAGCACTGAATCCCCTCATCTGGTGAAGGCAACACCCATGAAGGTGTATCTAATGTTACTCAACTTTATTTTGGTGTCCCTTACAGTATTTAAATCTAGAGGGCAAGAAGTGTTGTAAATACTGTATATCATTCAACTTTTTTGTTTTTAATGACCAATTAATTATGTGTCAGTACCAGACGGGACGTTTATGGTATTATATAAACTTATGTAGTACAGCACACATTCACGAAGTTTAAATTAAGAAATTGAATGACAACTGGGATAGTGGTATATTACATGATTGCATATTTTATTCTGGATCCAAACCAGGAATATTGTATGGGCTACATAAAATCTATTCACATAGATGGACACTATATAATTTTTCTCAGAACGGATAAATAATTAAAACGAACCTCTGAACTTGAGAATTCGACGATATTCATTAAAGTAAGATACAGTATTGTAATCTACAATGATGATTTTACATTGATAGATTGAGCATTACACTACTCATATTTGTTGATATTGCAGAGCACATGGATTTGTAGAGTAAAACCATAACTTAATGATCATCTTCCCTCCAGTGACCTTAAATTTTGTCACTGGCACGGTTCTCTCTTTAGACTTCCCATTTTCGGTAATAACTACTAGAACTATCAGTAGAAACGACCATAACAATGAAGAACCTCAGAGATAAGCAGTTTGCAGATTTTATCTCCTTTTTCTTCAATTTTTTATCCTTCATGATTATAAATTTATGTATTTTATGATCTTGTTTGTTCTATCTCTTGTTAATTTCATTGTTCACTGATAATGGGTAATGAGGTACTCACAACATCGAATCGATTCCCTTTTCTAATTTTAAATCCTAATTATATGTTATTGTATGTCACTGCACCTGATATTTTCACTCTTCACGACCCTACCACGCCAATCTCACCCTACTTCATTATCCTCCCACAGAGCGATTTAATCCACCGATGTAATTCCCTTTGTCAACCTTTATTTTTCTCTTATTTACACTTAATGGTCACCTTGAGACCTACGTGTTCATACAAGGTGACTGAGAAACCGACTAATAAACTCACGTTAGGCCCGTTCGTACAACCAGATCTCTGTGAGGATGGTCGTCGAATGTAAACACTGGACAGCTGGCTGCTCAAGCCGTGCAAACATGGCCTTCTTGTCCTTCAAAACCCATCACCACAACGTAGCCTCAGTAAATGAACATTTTGTATTTAAATCTTAAAACCTGCTTCCTTTATAACAGCTCTTCTAACTTATTGGAGAAGGAAGGGGAGAGTTAAGTTAGTACAACCACTATCAATCTTCTGTAAAACTTTTTGTAATGCTAACATAATTTATCTATATTAAAATTAAAGTGTAAAACTCCTGCACGATACCGATACTTCTCTCTTGCTACACCAAAACGATAGGAACAGTGGGATGCTGAGAATGTTGTGGTTGAGGCTTTTGTAGCAGTGAACAGGTTTAGATTGTCACAGTGTTCCCGTGTACCATAAAATATTATGGTGTGTCCTGGCTGGAGAAGAACCACACATTTCGACGACCATCCTTTTTGTAAAGTAAACTCTCATTGAATTAGAACTAACACTGTAAATAATAAACTGTCTTCTACAAAATATAGATGAATGTCTAACCTAGATTATATATATATATATATATATATATATATATATATATATATATATATATATATATATATATATATATATATATATATATATATAAATGGAGTAATACTTCTTTTCCTAATAGGTAATGTTTCCGTATCTACGTATACAAGTGCAGAATCCCTTAATTGGGCATAATTGTTATGTATAACTACGCATCTGTCTCTTAAGTGTACTAACCCACTGGCCCCGGCCCTTGCTCAGCTGGGCGTATAGACCACGCACACCACCACAATAACGGGAAGAGGGCGCTGGAGGAAGTGGTGGCTCTGGACGAAACAGTTCAAAGTGCCCTCAACATCACATCGGCCACAGACACGCTATTGGTGCTCACTGCTGATCACTCCCACGTGTTTACGCTCGGGGGGGACAACACCCCCAGGGGCCACCCCGTTACGGGTACTCTTTCTGCACTCTTACTGCACCGTCTTGTTCTGTGTCTGTGTACGCTCTCGTCCTCCTGCACTAACGCTCCACCTGCACCTTTTTTTAGGGGAGTTTTTGGTCAATTTTAAATGTTTTATTAATACTTTTGTGAGGACTGTTTTTATCATAAGCTCACGTATCTCACAGGTTTCACTGAATGTTTGTTCTAGACCAATGCAAGGGTGTGTGTGTGTTGGTGATCAAGTTGTGACAGCTTCCTAACACAGGTGGTGGGGAGCTGCGTTGTGTCTAGGGACAGCATGTGACTGGCTTCTACATGTTAACATTTACTTCTCTCCGTAGATATAGCTGGTGATTTTGTTTCAGTTAACACATCAATTTTGTTATCATCGATGCATGATGTGTACTAATTGTCCTGCTTGGTAGTGTTAGCCCGAGATGTGATAGTGGCAATCCAGTGATGTGACCCTGGGCATCCAGGGATATGACACTGGCCAGGGAAGGTAAGGGGGTGGCCTCGCCAGCGACTCTGGTTCATCACGTGAACTTGATGAAACAACACTTCGAGTAATCATGACGAACAGGTAAGGTGGTGCAATTGATAGTGAAGTCGAAAGGGACTCATGTCTGTGGGGTCCAGTGCTCGTAGCCTAAGTGGGGTCCAGAGCCTGGGGTATTGATGGTGTTAGTGAGTGAGTATTTACCCCGCAGCGGGACGCTTGGATCACGCCCACCACTACAACATGGCGGCGCGAGCCCTGGACGAAGTCATACGCCTGGATGAGTGCGTACAAGCCTCCATGAAACTGACAGACGCCAGCAACACGCTCCTGATAGTGACGGCTGATCACTCGCACACCGTCAGCTTCGGCGGTGCCTCCGTCCCCCGTGGCAACCCCATCCTCGGTTGGTCTCATCATCCTTACAGTTCCCTCTTTCACCGTCAGCCTCCACGGCATGTCACCACCTCCTCTGGGCGCTGCTACATCTCTTCATCTGCCAATCGTTCTGATCACTTCATCTGACTTTTCTAACCAATGTTCCATCTTCCTTTCCGCTGCCTCTTATCCCTCCCATCCAGTGCCGCTGATCAGCCATCCGCTCTAACTTGTATTCATCCAATTCCTCTGCTCTTCATCACCTGAGTCAACTGTCCACCCCATTCTTACTGTCACGCGGTGCTCTCTCGCCGTGTCCTCTCCAGCGGTGCTCTCCCGCCGTGTCCTCTCCACGCTACACAGGCAACTAAACACATCAGTTATAATATATATCGAGATGGCGGTGAAGGTAAGATCCTATGAACGTGACAAGGAAGCAAATACCACCCAGCAGGCGCTGAGCCAGTTTGGCCATATGGGTCTGAAGCGCTGTAAGCGAGTGTGTTACATACCCCGACGGTAATGTACTGTAGCAGCATGCTGTAATCAAAGACCTGTAGTTTGTATAGTATTAGTAATACTGTCAGTGTACTATACATCTAGTAGATTGTGAAGTGCTCGAAGCGTAAGTAACTGTGCCCACATGTATAAAACAATATTGATTAAGAGGTCTGAAAATGTTGGAACATTTCGTATTTCTGCTTCTAAATATTTTTTGTTTTAAGAGTGGAAAAACTTTGCTTAAAAAATCCAGTCTTGGTGGGTCTACAAAACCTAGGTAGGGAGGGGGGGGGGTCAGGAATGAGAGAGCCGGGGATGAGGGGGGGGAGGTTATGAGCAACGTCATTCCTCTCATAGCGGTCTACCAACCCCGCCCCCCCCTTCCCCTTCAGAGTGCTACACTTATCCTCCCCCTCTCACTGTGCCACACCTATCCGCCCCCTCTCACTGTGCCACACCTATCCGCCCCCTCTCACTGTGCCACACCTATCCGCCCCCTCTCACTGTGCCACACCTATCCGCCCCCTCTCACTGTGCCACACCCGTCAAGCAGTGCCACCTAGGCCAGTCACGTAACGCCCAGATCCTTGGCCACATTTACGAGCGAGGCGAGCAACGCGATCTGAACCCTTGATAATCCATCCATCTTAAGTCGCCCTGGCTTCCTCGTCCCTCCCGAGTACCCCCCCCCCTAGCCCGAGAGTCCTGGCTCGTGTACCCGTTCCTCCACCTTATACCTATTACTTCCCTGCCGTATATACCCGCCCCATGTATTCCACTCCATGTATCTAGCCCCATATATTATCCGCCCCCCTCCCCCGTTCATAACATCCCCGCCCATGTATCCCCACCAATGTGAACCCCCCACCCCCACCCCTGCGCCGTGTACCCCAGTTGCCATGAAACGAAGTCCGCTAATGCCAAGAAATCTCTGTTCGTCGTAACGTTAATACTTGAAAATCCTGTTTCGTTAGAATAAGCCGCTGCACGGTACGCCCCGAGTGGTAGACGCATCTCAGGAACTAATTCTGCGTTGGAATGATCAACACAGCGGTGAGTGTGATGCTGATGCACACGCACTGGACGTCTCTCACATCTGCTTGCGCTTAGCATGAGTGATGCTGACTGAAGCTTCAACCATGCTCCAGGTCTGTCATGGGCCTCAGACGTCACAAGTGCAAGCTTAAACGACATCCGAAGTCAAACCATGCATGTCACCAGTACGTAGTACTACTCTATTGGGTGTCACAATGCTACCGTTTCATTAACTGGTTTAGTAATCAATGTTTCATTATTATTCGCATTTACAATACGAGACACTGTCAGACAAATGATTAGTTAGGACAACCAGTTTCTAAACTACCTCGAGCACAAGATTTATTCAGTGCCAGCTGAGATACCTAAGATGGCTGTAATAGCGACTACGAGCTCTTCCCATAATTCCTAACGTTGCGTTAACTAATTCCCCTCTCAGCAGACCTCTGAGGGGTATCGAGACACAAGACAACTCAGATTAAGTCGTCTAGGCAGAATATGATTATTTCCTCCTAAGAGATTTAATAGTACAGTGTCACCTGTAGCCACGTCTCCACACGGTATATATACCCACCACAGACGACACCGAACATATACAAGGTATACATTGGCTGTATGCATACCCTGGTCACTCACTGTGCCTATCGTGGCTCTATTGTTGTTCACTATAGAGCGATAGACTGTTGTCACGCTACAGTTTGATGAAACCAGCTATTGGCCTGACATTTTATCTGGTTATTAAAATTGTGAGTGCTATCGCCGAGTGGCATAGTGAACACAGCCGCCCTGACGCCCATGGTGAACAACAGCCGCCCTGTGTTATATATATATATATATATATATATATATATATATATATATATATATATATATATATATATATATATATATATATATATATATATGCGCACACACAGACGAATGACATAGGATAGGAGAGACAGTAGAATCTTATAAAAATAATTATTTCAAAATTAGATACGACAGGAAGGAGGGTCGAGGGTCACTGCATTAATGAGATAGATGATAAGGCGGAGCTCAGAGCTAAAGCTATCTAGCAACCCTATTTAGCTGAGTATACAAACACTTTGTTCAGTGTGAGAGTAGCAAGTGGAATTAGCTGAATATGGAGGTAATTGAAGCTAATTCCACATATAGTTGCAAGAGCAGGCGTGGTAAGACCCTAGAGAAGAAGCCGGAAACCATTGCAATGCGCTACGAGCGACTGAGAGGCGGACCCAGAAGCTGACGCTCGCCCGGAAAGCACATATAGGCGAAGTTCGTAGGTAAGCACTTGTCGCTTATTCATTCAGGTCCCCGTGGGAGGACTGGAGAAGAGCAGCCCCTCGTAACACCCTCCACCGCCCCCAAACACGCCTCATCAACACAGATAAGGGACGGGAAAGATTACATTCAATATTGCCCCGTGAACCTTAACCCGCTCAGCCCTCCACCACATCCATTGGCAATATATTATTCTGGTAATTGGCAATAATAATGTAGCTGAGATTTCATCACATTTTCCAATCTAATTGCAAATAAAAATATATCAAAACTTTTAATAAGAAAGATTTTTTGCACTCTCTTCCTTCGCTTGGTCTGATTGCATCACTCGTAAAAGGTAATCAAAATGCAGATTTTGCCGAAGGTAATTAGAAAGGGATCGGTCATAAAGTACGGGTAATTTACAGTGTATCACTCGTATGCCGTGGTAGTGAGGTGTCTGTTTACTAAGTTGTGTTTATATTGGTTGAGCAATAGCTCTCAAGCCCTGCCTTTTCATATCCTGGTGAATTAATACAATGTCATTCCTCCTGGTTTCCTGTCATAGCTGCGTATTAAATTTGCATCAACAATCTCAGATTTTGAGAGACTTGTGACTTACGATGGAGCTTCCCCCTGACGTCTCTACGGCTCACCTATCTCTCCATCTCCACCGTGTCCTCTGGTCAACCCGTCCTCTTAAAAGTAACGTCGTTTTTCGCTCGTATGCGCGCTATGACCAAAAGTGGACGTAATTTGAAATGAAGTCGACTCACAAAAGTGACGTACTGTCCCGTTTTCTGTTTGAGTCGTCCGGCCTACTCAGAAAGGTTAGGAGAGGAAACTTTCAATTAACATTTTTCATACAAATTTCAAACTTTATGAGAATTTCCTGCCCACCTAACCTACCAGAGGATCCTTAACTTACTGTTGTTGAAAAAATATTCCATTTTTTTCATTTTCAAATTACGTCCACTTTAGGCCATACGAGCAAACGGCCAAAAGCGACATTATTTTTAAGAAGACAGGTTGCTCTGGTGCTACTGTTTCTCATTGTAAACATTGCCTCCCTTTCCATCCTATCAGATCCCTTTAATGTCTTCCTCGCCGTAACCAATGACTGGGTGTATGTCTGTTTGTTGGAGAGGCAGTAACTGGTTGTCTCTTCTTGCCTGTCAGTGGAAGGAAGTGGCTGGCGTTTGCAGAGTCCAGCTCGATATACGCCAACCACCAGGAAGCAACTCCTTGTGTGAGATCCGGCACGGGGAGCAGACTTTGCTCCACCGTTGGTTTTGCTTCCAGTTTATGTACATTATCCAAGTTAACCTTAACCAGTTAGAAATATGATATAGCCATTCCGAGAGATTACGTTCACAATTAAGTTTTACAGCCATATGAAAAGCACCCGAGCTTCTACTGCTGCAGTTAGTGAAGGACCTGAGCTGCTGCTATCTCTGCACACTTAAGTTGTGAATATTTTGTTTACTGTTTATGAATGAGTTGCAGCAAATTACCTGACATTGCTAAATATAATTTTCCTAAATAAAAACACCAGTTAGTCTAGCCATCTGTTTTTTATGTGTTTAATCATAATATAATCTAAAATGTAAAGCATTAAAATATTCAAACAACAGACACCTAACCCACACTTCTTAACAACCCATTCTCCTGTTTCGGTAGTACTTATATTAACGATAAGGACCATAGCACATATACCGACGTACGACGCAATTAGAAAGTAGAAATCGGTACTATTGAATTTGGACAAACCGGAAAAGATTTTATATCTGTGTTGCAAAGACAAACTAAATTAACCTAACCTAACCTTCCCAGGCCTAGTACACGCTATCTGAGGCCTAATATAGTACATATGTGTGCTATACTAGGCATAAGAATATTTAAAGTTAGTTTTTTCTTCATTTTTTCGGACTTTTATAAATTGAACAGTACCAGATTGTACTATCTAATTGCTTAGTACGTCAATGTTTGTACTATGGTACACATAGTTACAAAAAGTACTATCTAAACAGTAGGATGGGTTGTCTGAAATAAAAATTGACCACGTTTCGGTCCGTCGTGGACCATAATCAAGTCAACTTGATAATGGTCCAGGATGGACCGAAACGTCAATTCTTTTATTTTCAGATTTATGGGTTCGGTGTCTAGTATTAAAATACATTACTTGTAAAAGTGCGTGTTAACGACGTTTGGCACAAGTAATGGTGAAGCTGTGACTGGAGGAGAGGGGGGGGCCAGGAACCCTTCGAAGCGGTGGCTGGAGACGGGGGGGGGGGGTGGCCAGGAACCCTTCGAAGCGGTGGCTGGAGACGGGGGGGTGGCCAGGAACCCTTCGAAGCGGTGGCTGGAGACGGGGGGGTGGCCAGGAACCCTTCGAAGCGGTGGCTGGAGACGGGGGGGTGGCCAGGAACCCTTCGAAGCGGTGGCTGGAGACGGGGGGTGGCCAGGAACCCTTCGAAACGGTGGCTGGAGAAAGGGGGGGGGTGGCCAGGAACCCCTCGAAGCGGTGGCTGGAGACGGGGGGGTGGCCAGGAACCCCTCGAAGCGGTGGCTGGAGAAGGGGGGTGGCCAGGACCCCTTCGAAGCGGTGCCTGGAGAAGGGGGGGTGGCCAGGAACCCCTCGAAGCGATGGCTGGAGAAGGGGGGGGGTGGCTATGAACCCCCCTCCAAGCGGTGGCTGGTGGAGGGGGTGGCCAGGACCCCCCCCCCCAAGCGGTGGTAGGAGGAGGGGGTGGCCAGGAACCCCCCCCCCCCCCCAAGCGGCGGCTGGAGAAGGGGGTGGCCAGGAACTCCCCCATCGTGACTGTGATCATCCCCCAGAGAGCCATACACTGTCGGAACCTTAAGAGCCGCTACCGATAGTTGGAATGTCCTGTAAATTTAAGTGAGCGGCCCACACACACACATGAATTTCGGGATTATGGCCGAGGAACTTATCTCGTTAGACCTGAATAATCGGTTTATTGAGTGGGGTGGAGGATAGAGTTTTCTCTCCCGTGTTTTGTCCTCACAGTCACCGGGGCTCCCTCTCACCCACCGAGGCTCCCTCTCACCAACCGTGGCTCCCTCTCATCCACCGTGGCTCCCTCTCACCCACCGTAGCTCCCTCACACCCACCGTGGCTCTCTCTCACCCACCGTGGCTCTCTCTCACCCACCGAGGCTCCCTCTCACCCACCGAGGCTCCCTCTCACCCACCGTGGCTCCCTCTCACCCACCGTGGCTCCCTCTCACCCACCGTGGCTCTCTCTCACCCACCGTGGCTCCCTCTCACCCACCGTGGCTCCAGTGTAAACCACTGGCCTATCTGCCAAACAACATGGAACACATACTTTAAACACGTGCGTCGCGAAATATAGCTGTCCCCTAATACATAAATATGTGGCATATTTACCCGCTCGCATCGCGGCTTCGTCTCAATCTTTCGTCAAGTCTATTATACAGCAGGCCAAAAAAAAATCTTAAGTATGCGGAAGCATTTCCTTAGGAGAGAAAGGAGAGGTTCTCATAAATTTGGAGTGTACCCTGATTTTTAATTTTGCAAAATCTTAAGGTTGGGCCCGACTGGTATGGGCAATATTGCTGCTCCTGAAAAGAAGTCAGTTAAGCCGGTAATCTTATAAGACTGGCAGGGCCTGGAGACCTTGTGGCGCCTAGCAGTAAGGGCCAAGTCTGCCTGCCGCTGCTGGATGCAGTTGGACTGAATACCTTATTGGATTCGCAGTTTAAGATGAATTTTGTGTTTTATCTCATTTGGCCAGCTTATTAGCTTAACCCTGGAGAGTTAGTGCCGCCGCCGGCTCCTGCGGTGTCTTCACAATTACCTGTGTTTGCTTCACTGTTTCCACTGCTTCACATTAACTTTTAATATACACACACACATATTATATATATATATATATATATATATATATATATATATATATATATATATATATATATATATATATATATATATATATATATATATATATGCTAACCACCATATTATGGATAATTTCATTCACTTGGACCATGGGATTATTGGACTGACTCACCAAACCCAACAATAGAAAACTATCCCAGAGACACCAATCTGCTGTCTAACTGAAACTTATTTTCTGACCTCATCTGTGAAGATGAGAGTTATCCCGAAAGCATGCACAGATTAAAATATATTTTCCATTCATAGTGGTTGATTTCTGTAATATAAAATATTTTACATGAACTACCGGGTCAGTTGATGCAGGTAATATTTGTCAAATTCAATGGGTACCTTTCCTCTGGGCCAAAGGAGGGCCCTTAAACAGCTGTATATAATGGCAAATTCATGCGTGTTCATCGGCAAGCACGCGAATAAAGAGGTTTCAAACGTGCGTAGCCTCCTACAGTCACTGGTACGTGTGACGGTTGTGTTGTTAATTATCTCCTGACGATCCTGGGTGATGGTGTGGATCAGCGAGTGTTTTATATTACCATGTTACTACTGCTGCATGGTACTATGGCTGCGGCGCGAGGCACCGTTGGTAAAGCTGCTGCACAAGGTATGGTTGGTACTGCTGCAGAGGAACGGCAGAAACCGATCAACTACACCCACCAGAGGCAAACAACACCCTTCAGAGGCAAACTACACCCAACAACGTACTGGAGTGAACGATATGGAAGAAAATGCAGAATAGAACCAGTGAAGAGCAGAGGTGCCATAGGCACAATCAGAGAACACTGTATAAACATCAGAGGTCCACGGTTGTTCAACGTCCTACCAGCGACTATAAGAAATATTGCCGGAACAACCGTGGACATCTTCAAGAGAAAACTGGACTGTTTTCTAAGAGAAGTTCCGGATCAGCCGGGCTGTGGTGGGTATCTGGGCCTGCGGGCCACTCCAAGCAACAGCCTGGTGGACCAAACTCTCACAAATCAAGCCTGGCCTCGGGCCGGGCTTGGGGAGTAGAAGAACTCCCAGCTAGAACCCCATCAAGCAGGTCAAGCAGGTACCCACCAGAGGCAACCTACACCCTCCGGAGGCAACCTACACCCTCCGGAGGCAACCTACACCCTACGGAGGCAGCCTACACCCTCCGGAGGCAACCTACACCCACCAGAGGCAACCTACATCCTCCGGAGGCAAACTACACCCTCCGGAGGCAACCTACACCCTACGGAGGCAGCCTACACCCTCCGGAGGCAACCTACACCCACCAGAGGCAACCTACACCCACCAGAGGCAACCTACATCCTCCGGAGGCAAACTACACCCTCCGGAGGCAAACTACACCCTCCGGAGGCAAACTACACCCTCCGGAGGCAAACTACACCCTCCGGAGGCAAACTACACCCTCCGGAGGCAAACTACACCCTCCGGAGGCAAACCAAGAAGTGGAAGTTCCTGGCACGTATTTTGTTCGTCCCAGGACTTACACTTACCGATAAAGATGGCTACTGAACTGGTTTTCTACTTTGCCTGGCGTCCTGATGTGTGAGACGGGCTGATAAGGTAAGTTGTGTCCCTAATACCCTTCATCACGCGGGGCTGCGGGCCCCATCACCCAGGCGTACACAGAAAGGTGAGACTCATCGCTTCTGGTGCTGTTGGCTGCTACTGTGTTTTGCTTGTGTTCCGTGTGCTATTTTGCTTTCATATACTTCCTCGTTTACTTATGCGCATGCACAGTTTTATAAGTACATAGACACACACACACACATATTTAGTTTTCTTTCAAATATTTATAGATACACATCCATATAAGACTGCTTAATCACCCAATGACAGCCAAGTAACATACATTGTTCTGTAGGTATAGCCTAACATATTCCACTTATTCGTTGGCAAAAACTTGATTTGTTTGTGATTTAATTAAATGTAAAGAATTAAAATAAATTTGACCTGAAGAGTAAGTAGCCACAAAGTATCAAACAATGTCTAAGTCTCGCTAATTACCGTAAAACTATCTAGGGAGGTACTAGTACTTTTGAGCCCTTATGGAAGACTCGAGTCCCTGCCCTGAAAACACAAACCGAAACTGTCTCTATTTTCCGCTTGTTACAACTTGTAATAAAGTTGTTACATCTTGGCTTAACGTGTTTATGACGTATTAGAACGTTGTTACAACTTGCTATATTGGTTGTTATAACTGGTTAGGAAGTGTTAAAACTTGTTCGAACGTTGTACCAACGTCGTAGTTTCGGTGTGTGTTTGGCGGGTGCTCCTCTTCCACTAATTGGAAAAGGAGCAAACTTCACAAACATACATGTCAACACATATGTAACACAAATTTGCAAAGTGATAGCTAAACAGTTATCTTCCTTTCTGAATTTTGAAGTGTGTGTGATCCTCATGAATCACTTTCAGGGTTCGACACGGAGATCAGTGACCTGGATGGTAAACCGTACACTACCCTCCTCTACGGCAATGGTCCCGGCTACGCCCACACCACGCCTACAGGACGCCAGGACCTCACCGGCTTCAACACCCAGGACATCAACTTCGTGCAGCAGGCAGCAGTTCCTAGGAAGTAGGTGCATGTTCTGTGTACTTCTACAAAGGTTGGTTGAGGATCAGTGACGTGGTGGAAGTTGGGTGGTGTGGTAGAGGCAAGATCAAATACGAGTAGGATGCAGTCATTACTAAAGGGGGGGTTTAACGGGAGCATCATCAATTATATCTTTTTCGCTGTTGCAGTAAATAGCATTATAGATCTCACACAACTGATGCTTCAAGCACCCTACATATGATCCACCTGCACATGTGTTTCACAGGTCTTCTGAATGTTGCCTCGCATCACATGGGGTGCTGACTGAAATAGTCTTGGGCTGCACAAGGTCTGTGTGCTGTCAAAGCTGGAGTATGGGTGTGGGAGAGTACTCCTTAGCAACTCCAATTCGGTTTAGACTTACAAATTCTGTCCATCTCCGTATTAGTAACGTATTCAAAGGATCCCAGATCTTCTCACTTCTGTTTGTGCCTTGATAAATACATTTCACACTATTCATAACGTTCATTCAAATTTTCCGTATACCGATATACATATAAGCTATATGGGAAAATGTAATTTTAAATATCCTTTCTCTTCCGTGCAATTTGTTTAGTCTAACAGAGTATACAAAGGCCTTGTGTGTTGACTAAAGTAGCCTGCTATAGGTACTATGCTGAGTCACAAACTATCGGATATTGGGATACCTTTCCAGGCTACCCCCACTATGGTAGCCTTGCAACCACAGCATCCACGTGTACTCCTTACCTCTCAACTAGCCTCCCTGCTTTTAAACAGATTATTACACAAGAATGATTTTGTAGTTTAAATTTCAAGTTTTTGTAGGAATGCACTCCAAGCCTAGGAATCTTTAAACTCGACACATTCCCTCATTTTATAACGTTTAGAATTGTTGATTTTAGTTAAAAAAACGGAACTGTTGAATACTCTTCTGTTGTTGCCAATCATAGGTCAATGTGTCTGGCAACAGGCGCGCTGATGAAATGTCCATGAAGCCCTCAGCCAAATTTGTTCCTTCAAAACATTCCCTAGTTTGATGATTTTCATTTGAGATTTTGTCTGCCATCTTTATATCTTGGCAGCATTGTTGAGAGGATACTATTAGCCTCCCAGTATAATTAGGAAGATCACAAGGGGCCATTGATGCTGGTCATATTCCTAGATGCAACGCTGGTTGCATATTATGATGGTTCATTTATGCATAGAAAGCTCTCACAAAATGCATACATTTGGGGGATCCCTAGAGTGTGAAGCACTTACTGGTGAAATGATCCACACTGTGGGGAAGGTAAGTGGGACTTGGATGCAAATACCTTCATGAAGGTCTAGACCATAGAAGACACGATCTGCCATCTTTAATGCTGGGAGGTAATTTTTCTTAACTGGTTAGTAGGATAGACTATTTTATTGATGAGGCTGGCTTTCTTCCACAGCATTAATGGTTTATCATTACATTGTGAATTCATTTTAATGTTTGTATTTCCTAAATTTAGTTTCTTCATGTTATATAGTAAACTAGATGGGGTAACCGGCTCTCTCTCTCTCTCTCTCTCTCTCTCTCTCTCTCTCTCTCTCTCTCTCTCTCTCTCTCTCTCTCTCTCTCTCTCTCTCTCTCTCTCTCTCTCTCTCTCTCTCTCTGCCTATGCAAGTCTCGCAGAACATTCCACATAACTGGAATATAGCACACACAACTGCAACGTTATTTTTACTATTGTTATTTTGATACAACGTTGTGGTTACGTTGTGTGTGAAAAGCTGAAAAACTTATGAAAGCTCTGGAAAACAAAATCACCATTTCAGACTTCATAGGAGTTGCTATAGAAGCTGATCCTTTTAAATTGGGGGCCCAATGAGGCCGATCTGTCTATAACAGTCTTCTACTACTAATGTGTCATCTAGAAAGGTTGGCTGAAGCTAGCCTTGAATGTCTGGCCTCCAACCTTGGACATTCTCTATTATAGATATTGATGTATTTACAGATTATTGTGTTGTGTTTATTTAGCACCAATGACCTCATTATCGTGCCGCATATATTAGTATCACTTAATGAATCAATCCTCAACAGTTACCCAGCCATAAAGACATATATTGTATCCTTGCAGGTACGAAACCCACGGTGGAGAGGACGTGCCGGTGTACGCCATGGGCCCTGGGGCTCACCTTTTCTCGGGCACTGTAGAGCAGACGTACATCGCCCACGCCATCGCCCACGCCGCCTGCATCGCTGAAGACAACAGTCACTGTGAGAAGCCTCCTAGTGACGACGCCTGCGCCGCCGCCCCTGGGCCCGTGCCAGTTCCCACAGCACGCCGCCCACTTGGACAGGTCACGCCCACTGTTGATGACCAGAAACTACACACTCGGGACCCGTGGGCGTGGAATGCAGGAACGCGGGCATGGGCATGGACAAACTACCATGTATTGAGCTTGTTGATGCTCCCCGTGGTATTGGTGCTTCGCTGAGCCCTGCTGGGGCGTTAAAGACTCAGGAACGATCCCCTTCCCCTCCTTCTTCCCCCCTCGCTACGCTTCGCGGAGCACGGTGGGGGGGGAGGAGCAGAGTGCTAGGTTGGGACTACGCCCCACACTCACGCCACCCTCTTGTTATGGCAGCGACTCTGTTTCACACACACACACACTCCACACACACGTTGTTGACTATTAGATAATAGGTTTTATCCGAGCCTCAGGTGGAGACACTCAAACTGGTTCCTCATGTACAGTGACTGTGGTGGTGTGCTGCTGATGTTGCAACATTTGAGCGCGTTTTGATTGCCCTGACTGCCACGCGAGTTTCCGTAACAGAGACGCGTTACAAGGGTCGCGCTGCCCCCAACCTCACACTAATCATACTCGAAAGTGTGTGTGCTTGTGCGTGCGCGCGTGCAGGTGGGCGCTGTGGAAGGTGACGAACATTGGTTTTGTTTTTTTATATTTTTGCATTGGTTTCTACCTCTGTGTTTGGGAGTCGCGGATCACTGGCTCAGCGTTTGACAATCAGTGGATGAAAAGAGATGGGAAGGAGAGAGGGGGAAGGTATAGCTGAATGCTCTGAGGGAAGGGGACACCTGTGGCCACCCTCACACCGCCTGGGCAGACTCGAGCATTTATCACCAGCAACGAGAGTTCTTTGCCCAAGCGTTGGTGCTGTGACCGACGCCTCCTTCACCTTATCACGGTCGAGATAGCAACTATTGGTATGATTTGATTTAGAATATTACTGGACTATGTGTAATGTTGTACTACCTGTGTTTACCCCTAAGTTCCCTGATGGGTTACAGACACTCTGGATACCTAAACATGCTGTATTAGGCAAGCAGGACCATAAATAAACGGATGCCTTCCTTTGTACTCAAACTCTTGTCACTTATGTACTTATTTGCTCCTTTTTGATGCACTTACAAGAACGACAGATACATGTAAAGGAGCTCTCGAAAATCTTTGGGGACAATGATATTTATCAAGATTTATCACTTGTCTTCTTTGTCAATATATTGAACCAATTTTAGTCTAGTTTCATTCATCAGTATTTTTTAATTGCTAAAAAACAGCTGTCTATCAATAGAGTGCTGAGCCTATCAATAGACAACCGAGTATCAATAGGCTGCTCAGCCTATTAATAAACCTATTAGTTTATCAACATCCAGTGGAGTCTATCAATAGATTGCTGAACCTATCAATAAACAATTGTTTCTATCAATAGACAGCTAAGTCTATCAATAGACTGTTGAGTATCAATTGACTGCTAAGCCTATCAATAGACATTTCAGTATCAATAGGCAATTGATTTATCAATAAACAACCGAGTCTATCAATAAACTATTGAGTTTTTTAATAGCCAGTTAAACCTTTTCATAGACTACTAATTCTATCAATAGACTGGCGATTCTATAAAAATTACAGCTGGGTCTATGAACATCGGCAGTTGATGCTGCTAAGACGAGCAATTGAACATCTCTAGCTAGAGTCCAGGAGCATCTGTATGTTCCTTTGTATGATATAATTCCTGTTGTTTCAACACCTCAGAAACATGCATGCAATTATCATTATTATATATTTGTGTGTACATCACTACCATATCATCTATGTATAGAAAATAATAACAGCAAATCATATTTATATATGGAACCATCATAAGGGAGTATAAGGGTGTTTGTTACTGATAACAGAGTTTGATCACTATGATGCTGGTTTGAACAGGACCTCAAGTATACAGTTACGATACTACTGTTGATTATTGAACTGACATACATAACAATTACTTCATCATGGAGATAAACGAAACTGTGTGTCTGTAACTGTACACACACACACACACACACACACACACACACACACACACACACACCAGAAGACACAAGCATGAACAAGTTCTAAGTCTTTAGAGATCAAGTTCCACAGTACAAGGTACTATGACTCTAATATGGTCAAAAGACCTGGCTAAACTGAATATTCTTATCCGTTGCCTCTCATTTCGTTTCATGTAACATAAAACCTGTAAAACAATCATGGAGAACATTGTGTATTACAGTATCAAGATACACTGAATAATGAGGTATATAGCCATGTGTACCGAAGGGAATTCCAAGATGGGTGTCTTTGGTCATGTATACTTCGAGGGAATTCTAAGATGGGTGTCTGTGGCCATGTATACTTCGAGGGAATTCTAAGATGGGTGTCTGTGGCCATGTATACTTCGAGGGAATTCTAAGATGGGTGTCTGTGGCCATGTATACTTCGAGGGAATTCCAAGATGGGTGTTTGTGGTCATGTATACTCGAGTTTATAATCGACAACGTGGGTGTCTGTATAAACTGGTGTACTTGGGTAACTCGGCCCATTTTTAACCCAGGCTTGTCCATTCTGGTGTAAACAGGACCACAAAGTAGCTATACAATTGTTTATGCCCTGCGTGGCCAGTTTAGCATTAGTCGTTCTGAAGGGGAACGCACAGGATCAGCAGGAGTACTGGGAAACCCAGTTCTGGAAAGAGCAAGTCCTAGGAGGTTAAGTCCAGGAAGAGAAAGACCTGGGAGACTAAATCCTGGGAGATCAAGTCCTTGGAGGTCAAAGGCCCGTGAAAGCAAGTCCCAGGAGGTCAAAGTCCTATGAGAGCAAGTCCCGGGAGGTCAAAGTCCTGTCAGAATAAGTCCTAGGAGGTCAAGTCATGCTTGACCCTTAATTTTGTTCACCCAAGTCAATTATGTTTCCTCGTGTTTTAAGTTTTAGTTTATCATTTAGATGTTCAAGAATTATTTAAGGTATAAGCGGTGGCTGTTTGGAAAAGAAAGCTAGGGTTCTTCAAGCAAAGTAATGATAATAACTTTCTGCTGCATAATATTATTATATACTTTAAGACAAAAATATTCAAATATATTAACCACATTTTAAACAAGATAATCATACAATTATAGAAAACTATTGAAAATAACTTATCACATATTAATATTTATGAATATTTAATTAGGAGCTTTTAAGAAGGGAAATTAATAGAAAAATTACGCAACAGGAACAGAAAATGGGAAATGAGCAAGAATTTAAGAATAAGAAAATTCTAAAATTATATAATTGTTTACAACTTTTATAACGTTTTATGACTGTATAAGTTTAACCTGCCATCAATATGTCCAGGTTTATTTGATTTTGTGAAAATGCAATTATGAGCAAAATGAAGTCTTATTAATGAAACAAAAAACTTACAGAAAGAAAACGAATCAATTCAATGGAAATAGGAATTAAACGAGCATTCTTGGCGCAGCTAGAATACAAAATATTCTTAAGGATGACTTTAGATATAACATCATCTATCAGAACCTCGAGATACATAACCACTCTCAGGAAAAACATACAATACAATATACTTCATTATATCCAAAAGGGTTTACTTACCCCTTACACTGACTTTTATGCATTTTTCATCCCATTCAGTACCTTTACATCTTTTTTACATTTAAAAAATATCACAGTCTATTTAGTATATTTATATACAATATTATGGTTTACGTGTTCTAGTTGTGATTATATACTAAACTTTAGAACAAAAGTGCTTTGAATTTAATCTAATTATTTATATATAAGATGGATAGGCTATGGCCATACTGTGTCTTATGGGAGGGATGCGAATATCAGCCTTAATGGAGAGGACCCTAAGGCTGGCTTTCCCTTGTGACACAGTTTTATTGCAAGGAGATAGGCTGTTTAAGTATGAATTCTTGTACATAATATATGTGTTGTATTTATTTAGAAACTGCTATATTTTGTCCTATAGCAAATATATTTTGTTAAGATGAATTAGCTTTTTCAAGGTCGGCTCTATCACTTAAGCTAACAGCATTGAGTTCCAAAGTACAAACACTAGAATCCATTATTTTCACTTTCAGTTTATCAGACATCACAAGCCACGAGTTTAGTCGACACTGTAACCTTACCACGTTTCAGACTCTGTAGGTACATTACCCAATAAACCAGATATTGTGACCCTTCTTTTACTTCCCTTGTCGCTAGTAACTCAGGTTAACCTCACTTGTATAATTACTACTCACCCAAACGAGGTGGAGAATATGGTGATATCATTCTCTTAAATAAACAATGCTGATGAGGTGTACAAAAGACTGCAGGTGTCTCTTGGGAGGACATACAAAAAGACTGAAGGTATATCTTGGGAGAACATACGAAAGACTGCAGGTGTATCTTGAGACGACATACAAAAAGACTGCAGGTGTATCTTGAGACGACATACAAAAATACTGCAGGTGTATCTTGGGACGACATACAATAAGACTGCAGGTGTATCTTGAGACGACATACAAAAATACTGCAGGTGTATCTTGGGACGACATACAAAAATACTGCAGGTGTATCTTGGGACGACATACAAAAAGACTGCAGGTGTATCTTGGGACGACATACAAAAAGACTGCAGGTGTATCTTGGGACGACATACAATAAGACTGCAGGTATTTCCAGGGAAGACATACGACACTACTAGGCCAAAGAGGTGTCAGGCCATCCATGTGACTCCACGGCCCTCGGTGAAAGAAGAGAGAGAAGCGAGCACATTAGACGCGTTTCAGCCTGACAACAACTAATTGCCTTTCAGACATGTTATCCAATTTCGAGGGACAGTTAACGTCGTGTGTGAATACACCACCAAAGATACATTTTCATTAGTGCTGCCAGACCGAAAAAGCATTTATATTAATTATAGCGAAGCATGAAACTTTTTAAATAAACAAAATAATATACAAAAAAAGGTTTTCATGTTATTTATTCTTTAAGTGGATGTGATTACCTAGGTTGTACATTCTCCAGCAGTGTTTTGGTGAGCTAACTTGTTACAGACAAGCTAAGCCGCTTTGAATTCAGCCACGTAAGTAATCCGCATGCATCCTAACCTAGGGTGTCCTAATCCAGGGTTTCCAATGTTCCCAATGTCCTAATCCAGGGTTTTTGGGCTACCCAGGATGGACTCCAGGACGGACGGACCCCAGTGGATCATCCCAGGACGGGTGGACCCCAGGACGGACGTACCCCAGTGAACCCCAGGACGGACGGACCCCAGTACAGACGGACCCCAGTGGAACCCAGGACAGACGGACCTCAGTGGACCCCTGGACAGACGGACCCCAGTGGATCCCTGGACAGACGGACCCCAGTGGACCTAGTAAAGATGGAAGAGGAGCAACAACGAATCCAGTCTGTCCTACCAACATTGGTCTACCCAGGATGGACCCCAGGTCGCTTGTCAAAGACCCATGGAAGAAAGAATAAAGAAGAGAGAAGATAAGGCCAAGCTAAGACACGATGCCTAGTGTCCCTTGCTGGTGTCAGTATCATTGCATGGAGCGTAATTGTAAGACAGGACCGTTTGCCTTAACTGGCCGCCGCTCCTGCACGTTGCTCTGTTGAGTGATTCCTCCTGTGTCGTGCGGATTTGATGTAGCTGTCAGAAGTGGCTCTCTGAAGGAGGCGTACTGGAGCAACAGGGAGGAAAAAAGTAGGAAGGGATTTCTACGGTGCCAACTATATGGAGGTCTCGAAACTTGTAGTCCCTAAAGCTGGGAAGAAACCAAATATACGTCTCATGGTGACTGACGTAGGGCCAATTACAGATCAGCTGGGACAACCGAATTCCACGGTCCTGTGCGCAGTACAAGAAGTAACTGCTTCCTGGTTGGCCAAGGGTTGTTGTGCGTTAACGACGGAGAAGCGACGGAGGCAGTTGTGCTGAGGGACGTGTCACGGGACTATCTACAAGACCAAGCAGTGATATCGCCCAGCCAGAGACAATGGACGTCTGTCATATTTCATTTTTTTAGAGTAGGATGATGTATATTTGTTTAGCTAGGATGTATTTTTTAAGTTAATAAAGTTGTCGCACTCAGTTAGCTTTCTTTAGCAGTGTTGCAAAAACTTTATTTTCGGGGAGAAGGGGAGATGTAACACCGTAAAGGTGTTTTGTTTAGTTTTATTTAATATAGTACATGAGTCAAGCCAGACAACTTTTGAGAGGCGCCAGGTTGGCGGCCTCTAGGAATTAAGAAACTCACACCTCTAAGCGTTAATGACCTCAAGTCGACCTGAGGTCAGCTCGTGCGAATTTCACCTTGTTTCTGCTAATCTGATAATTGTAGCCTGATAGCCTTCAAACAAGCCGCCAATTTAAGGTGTGGCTTGGTAGAGTGCCTGGGGCTATCTACTTGTGGGCGGAGTTAGCTAGTTGGTCCCCAAATAAATACTCGGGAAGCTGTAGATTCGAAAAGATAGAGCAATAAGAGAGCAGCAGAGCAGAGCAGGGCAGACAGCAGCCGAATTAGGCTGTCGGCCGGACGGGGGGTGACTGCCTGTCAACTGCAGACCATCCCCCCCTCTATTCAACTTAGACTCAGCCCTCGGTGAGTGATCGTGAAGGTGACTTAGTCGTGTTTACTAGTGTTGGGTGACTATCAGGGGGCAGACAGTTGTAGTGATCTCGAATTCTTGGGTAATGACTCACTTTGTATGTTAATAGTGAACCTTCAGTTTGATTGCTTGAATTATGATATCTATCCTGATACATATACTTGATGAATTATTGAGAAATATATACTTGATTCACTTTACTTGTAATCTGATTTTAATTGTTCCTAGATCTGGGATTTTTGGATACAATATGCAAACTAGAGTGTAGAATACACTTGAGATTATGGAATTAAAGAATCTTGACACATGCTAACAACATCTTTGATATACAGACAAGTTCCATTCCTTGTCTTGTATGTACTGACTAGAATGGATGGTGGCAGCCTTTCTACTTCTACAATCTACTTTTCTACTTCTACCTATCTACCCTTCTACCTCCACCACTACTTCCTATTCATCTCCATACCCTCTCTCCCCCTTTCCCTTTCACCTGACGACCCTCCTTACCCCTCCCACCTACTCCTTCCTCCTCTCTACCTCTCTCACCCCAGACCCTCACTAATTACCTCATTATTCATCTCTTTCCTTTCCTTTCTCATGTACGTTCGTGGCAATGAACTGTTCTAGAGTTCTCTGGAGTCACGAGGAGCTGATCAAGTCACAATGCCTTGTGTTCGTGAAACCTAGGTAGTCAAATACCTAGGTCACAAGGTGTAGAATTAGAAAGGTTGCAGTAGGGACTCTGGGGGGGGAACTCTAGAATAGCTAACTGGGGGGTAGGATAATGGACTAAAGAGAGCTATTCTTCCCCCCCCCCCCGTTACAATGCGAGTGGCTAATCATTTTATCCAACACAATCCTTCACCTTCACAATCGTCCAATCCTTCATGGCTAGAACTCATCGAGGGGCTGTAGGAATATAACTGTGTTAGACTGGGAAACTAAACTATATCTCAGGATGTAAGGAATCACAAATTCAGTTTTCAAATATAAAATATTTCCTTAAACTAAACTGATGAAAGTAAATGACCTCGGACCATCTTGTGGACTGTACACGGGACTGTGGTCCTGTGTACACGAGACTGTGTGGTCCTGTGTACACGGGACTGTGGTCCTGTGTACACGGGACTGTGTGGTCCTGTGTACACGGGACTGTGGTCCTGTGTACACGAGACTGTGTGGTCCTGTGTACACGGGACTGGTCCTGTGTACACGGGACTGTGTGGTCCTGTGTACACGGGACTGTGTGGTCCTGTGTACACGGGACTGTGTACACGAGACTGTGTGGTCCTGTGTACACGAGACTGTGTGGTCCTGTGTACACGGGACTGTGTGGTCCTGTGTACACGGGACTGTGGTCCTGTGTACACGGGACTGTGTGGTCCTGTGTACACGGGACTGTGTGGTCCTGTGTACACGGGACTGTGGTCCTGTGTACACGAGACTGTGTGGTCCTGTGTACACGGGACTGTGGTCCTGTGTACACGGGACTGTGTGGTCCTGTGTACACGGGACTGTGTGGTCCTGTGTACACGAGACTGTGTGGTCCTGTGTACACGAGACTGTGTGGTCCTGTGTACACGGGACTGTGTGGTCCTGTGTACACGGGACTGTGGTCCTGTGTACACGAGACTGTGTGGTCCTGTGTACACGAGACTGTGTGGTCCTGTGTACACGGGACTGTGGTCCTGTGTACACGGGACTGTGTGGTCCTGTGTACACGGGACTGTGGTCCTGTGTACACGAGACTGTGTGGTCCTGTGTACACGAGACTGTGTGGTCCTGTGTACACGGGACTGTGGTCCTGTGTACACGGGACTGTGTGGTCCTGTGTACACGGGACTGTGTACACGAGACTGTGTGGTCCTGTGTACACGAGACTGTGTGGTCCTGTGTACACGGGACTGTGTGGTCCTGTGTACACGGGACTGTGGTCCTGTGTACACGGGACTGTGTGGTCCTGTGTACACGGGACTGTGTACACGAGACTGTGTGGTCCTGTGTACACGAGACTGTGTGGTCCTGTGTACACGAGACTGTGTGGTCCTGTGTACACGGGACTGTGTGGTCCTGTGTACACGGGACTGTGGTCCTGTGTACACGAGACTGTGTGGTCCTGTGTACACGAGACTGTGTGGTCCTGTGTACACGGGACTGTGTGGTCCTGTGTACACGGGACTGTGTACACGAGACTGTGTGGTCCTGTGTACACGAGACTGTGTGGTCCTGTGTACACGGGACTGTGTGGTCCTGTGTACACGGGACTGTGTACACGAGACTGTGTGGTCCTGTGTACACGAGACTGTGTGGTCCTGTGTACACGAGACTGTGTGGTCCTGTGTACACGGGACTGTGGTCCTGTGTACACGGGACTGTGTGGTCCTGTGTACACGGGACTGTGTGGTCCTGTGTACACGGGACTGTGGTCCTGTGTACACGGGACTGTGGTCCTGTGTACACGGGACTGTGTGGTCCTGTGTACACGGGACTGTGTGGTCCTGTGTACACGAGACTGTGTGGTCCTGTGTACACGAGACTGTGTGGTCCTGTGTACACGAGACTGTGTGGTCCTGTGT